AGATGGTTTGTTTTCTCTCTCACCACCAATTCCACAGACACATTCCTTGCTCTATGTTGATACAGGCTGTTCTGCAGTTATTTGCATCTCTCTTCTTTCACTTGATGCTATTTTATTTGCAGCTGAGGATATTGATTCCCATGAAGATCCCGCTGGAATTACTAGTGGTACCTTTGCTAGGGTGGTATGACACTAACAGCTGAATGAATGGGATGCAGCGCCGTTCTCAAACCATTACAGGTTCATACTCCAACATAAACCAGAGCCAACTTTGTCACGTTACTAGTTGCAACAGCAGCATTGATGAGAAAAATGGAGCAGACAACTAGAAATTTTTTCACACAACTGTCTCATCTGCTAGTCAACATCCTACGCAACACAGCCCAAACTGGTCATCAGAAGTAAAATCCAGGCTTTAACTGTAGCTGCTACCGAAGTATTGTCTCCAAAGTGAGGAGATGCTTTGGGCTACAGCGATGCATTTTGCCAACCTCATGTCAAAGGACCGTCTTCTGACTTTATCAATGATGAAGATATTGAAGCAACGACAGCAGCAGCTTGTCTGACCTGGAGTTTAAGAGTACTGGATGTATGGCAAGTGCCTAATTTTTGGATGGGAGTGTAGCGTTCATTGAAATATGCTGATGTTTTCACGAGATTAGCTGATAGAGTAGGAAAAAAGCAGAGCAGCCTCAGGTGTCCAAAGCGCAGTTGCTGAAGCCACGTTCAATTTACAGCGCTTCACCAGCAGCGTACGCGTGTAGCCAGACATGGAAAACACCTGGCTCTTCAGGTTTTCGATTTCCCGTTACTTCTAACCCACACACCATCCTCTTTAAAGAGACAGTGGTGGCGAATATTACCTGCGCCTCTGCTTGGACAGCGCCAAGAAAAAACATCATGTTACACATAGCCCACTGCCCCGAAAAACTCACGCAACAGGTGCTGGAAGCAGCAGCATCTCCTCAGCACCGGAGGGGCCCGTTTCCCCGAAGCGCATCCCAGCACCTCGCCTGCTTTTGCCACACCACCAGCGCTCGCTGGTAACGCTACGCTGCGCCGTGGCTCCGGCAGTAACCGGGAGCCCTGCTCTAGCAACCAGACTCATACTGCCAGTCACTGCGGTTTTCCTTTGAAAAAGTACTGGAGCAGTAAATATTTTTTTAATAACTTGCAGAAATTTAACACACTGAAAATTATATTCCTTTGGATACTAAAAACCACCTCAGTTTAACCTAACATTCTTTTTGAAATGCCATTTGACAACCAGAGAGGGAACACAATGAAAGATTTCCAAGTTTTCATGTATTTTATTTACAGGCCGCACAATACATTTTATATACAAATGGCTTAAAAAAAACAAAGAGTAAGCAAGCTGAAGCATAACACTTTGATTATTTTAAATTAGGTTGTCTTGAATTAACTCCTGCAATAAAGTATTCTTCACCCTGATAAGCAAAAGTTAGTTCGATTTGAAGTCAACCCAAGGTCGTATCATTTTTAAATACAAAATTCAAATCAGTTTTCTGGCAATTCCTGAATTCCATGACACGCTTCTGTGTATACAGAACATCCCAGAATTATCAAGAAGGGAAATAGCCAAGATGTCCCCACGTAAAAAACAATGTAAGAGAATAGACTGGAGCAATGTTGTATGTAAAACACTTGCGTGTTTTATTAACGAAAAGAAGAATGCAAGACATACATCTGAGATTTTTCTCTCTTGGAAACAGAATTCATGGTCTGAGATCTAATTTGTCTGCAGACAAGAGGTATCCTATGTTACTTCAGTACTTCAGTTTTTACCGCACAATTATCTATTAAATTAATCCAAATGTTATCTTCACCAAAAATGAAACTGCCTCCTGCACCAAGAAAAAGAAGAGCACTCAGAACCGTAAGAACTTACATTGCAGCACTTACCGCCTCTGCTTCTAGAAAGCACCTTACACTACCGTGGTATGGAGACAATTTAACAAAGACCATATTTTATGGAAACATAAGAAAATATAGAAGCTTGCCATTTAAAATTTTTCCATGAAATTATATTAACATTTAAGGATACATGTATTTTTACACCTCTTCCTTAACACTGCTCCTTCTGTTCAAGATAACAACTAGTGATCCAAGATAAAAGCCATTTCCTTCTCCTTCAGCTGATTTTAAGTACTACAACAGTCTAAGTGGTTTATGTCATGCGTATAGCAGTCCAGTTGTGCTCGCTTTCTTCCTCTTGGTATGGCTAAAGACCACTTAATAGAAATAATGAAGTACTTGCTACTTGATAGTCCATGATTACAGTATTTTGCTATGTTTATTTAGAAATACAAACACACACCACTTACTTTTCAATGTAGTGTCCAGGTGTCTGTAGCACACTTTGGAATTGCAGCACAGAAAATGTAAACCCAAAGGAATGGGGGGTGAGGGGGGAAGTAACAAAAGCCACGGCTTCACAGAAAAATAATATGGTTTTCAGAATGTCTACTGCTGCATCAAAAATGCAAGAGTCACATGATGTAAATGCCAAACTAGCACAGACTCACTCTGCCAAGTGAAATTTGTTCAAAGGGGTAAAATTCTGAACTGACATAAGCACCTTGTCATGCGATTTAATTCAGAAGAAATTTTAATAAATACACAGGTCCAGTACAAATGAATGTGGACCCACAGTCCTTCAATCCGGCCGGTTCCCTGGCTGCTAACCTGCCCAGACGCAACACCAGGGCCAGGGGAGCGTGGCCACGGGGAGAAATCCTCCCGCCACACACCCCAAGGGCAGCCCTGCAGAGGGAGGGCAGGGCTCCTGACCCACAGGCAGCCCAGGCACAGCCTCTACCTGCCCAAGAGGAAAGGCTGTCAGCGAAAGAGCCAAGAAGATCTCCCAGGTTGCAGAGAAGGTAATCTCTTCAGAGTTATCATATATGGAAATATGTTAACTTTCCCTCCAAACTATCTCAACACTGTTGGCCTAGGCAAGTATAGTGTTCAAAGTCTCAGGTTTAAACTGAATTTGGGGAAAAGTCCATTGTGCAGTACACATCTGCCACAGCGTGCCAGAGTTTTGTTTCTGATTCTTCTGGAAGTCAACTGTCTATTCTGTCTCCTTCTCTCTCCTCATAGTCAGAATTACTCGTGCTGTTTTGTGGGTTTTTTTTTTCATGGCCCAAGACCGAAATCCACTTCAGTGGAATGATGCAACGTGAGAGTACTGCCAGCCCGAAAGGAAACTGCACTGTCATTTACACATGCAGAGGGGGCTGACTTCTCTGCATGAAATGAGGTGAACTAAATGACTTGAAAATTTACCTCCAAAAGGGAAGCAGCAGGAGACACAATGTCTCCCTTGCATTTTTGTATTGGAAGTCAAATCAGTTAGTCCTCTGAGATCTACCTTCCTTTTGAACTTACCTGCTTTTTTAGCCAACTATCACCTGCAGTTGCATTTGAGATGCAGGAGAGTAACACCAGACTGCACATTTTTTGTGAAAGCAACTGCCCAAGAGCTTTGAAAGTCTTTTGCTTGATTCGGAAAAAGAGCAATCTGTGTGTATCACTGTGGGATTGTTTTTTTTAAGATTAGTAAACAAAAAGCCTTAACTGACACTGTCCGTATCTAAATGATGCTGATGATTTTTGCCTTTAAAATTTTACTAGCAGAAAAATGCTATGGGGGTGTCCTTACTCAGGGAAAACTATCCAACGCAGTGTCATTCACACATGAAGCTTTTGATTTTCTTAAGCACAGGCTACTCAGGTCATAAGTACTTGTTTCTGATCAGGCCACTTTTATTTTCAGATTGCAGGATTTTCTACTGTGTCTAGTGAAGGCAACAGCCAGACTTACAGGGACATCATAAGCAGTATGACTCTCTCTCCATTTCTCATTTGCCAGATCCTCAAACGCTACGTAGTTAGCGAAGGGAACTTCTCCATGCTCTACAATGTGGTAGTTAGCCATATACGAACCAGGATTTTCAACTAAAACAAAACAAAACACAACACCAACAACTTTGGCTTCTATTCTGAAAATCCAAAAAGTCACTGACAAGACTACGTTTGTAACAGTGTAAGTAGAAATTTTACTTTTTAAAAAGTAATAATTAAACACTCAGTTACATAAGGTACCGATTTGTCAACTGGATAATCAGTTGGAAAATTGTTTCCAATATGGGCTTTAAAACATTCTTTTACGTACATGCAAAATATAACCATACCTCCTCTCTGCAGGAGAGAGAACACTTGTCAAAGGAAAAAAAAACATGCTGGAAGTTGCAACTGATATGAGGAGTGGCTCTTGGTAAGAGTTTTAACTACAGCCATTTTATCAGTTGTTCAGAGAGACTTGATTCCAATATTAAAATGTTCTGTGGAATAGCAGATATAAAATCAATTAATTGGCACAATCACAAGTTTACAGAGAATTAGAACTAGTGTCAAGCGTTTTGCTGTTGCTTTAAATACTGGTCATTTTTCCTTTGGTTACTTCCTATAATGCAGTATTTGTGGTAAAAAGACAACAGTGTCAGCTTTTCACACAAAGTAAAGTAATTACTGCTGTTGACATTTAAGAGAAAAAACTATCTCATCACTTGGTAAGGACATATAAAGTATAGTTTATTTGGCAGAGGAACTAAAACACTTACTACAACTCCCAGAGGGTGCTGAGGAAAAACTACACTCTTCATTCTCCTCACTTTCAACATTTCTCATGAAGTTCAATTTGGAAATTATGATTTCATCAAGACAAGATTAGGTCTCTAAATAACTGGCCCCTGAAGTAAACAGCACAAGGTTATGACCTATTTGAGTTGCCTATTATTATCTGAATTTTCAGGTTAACTACCTAGGTTTAGGTATTATTTTCACATCCACCTATAAAGTACTTCCAAATTTTTGCAGACCTTAAGCTTACATGTTAAGGCACTTACCATTCAAGTAAAACAGTTTTTATATAAACAAGCTCAGGAGATGGAGAGAACATTTTACCAGAACATCCATTCTTTTTTTTCTTGAAAGAAAAAAAAAAATAACATTGACCAAATATTTATAAAATTTTGCATCAAGAGAAAGGTTGTGTTTTATTATCTGAAATGAGCACAAAGTACACCTTCCACAATAACACTGAAAGCAGTGCAAAGACTGACAGTGACCTTTGACTAAAGGTAGTTCTGTAAAAAGAAAAATACCAAATAAATCAGTGCCCTGCTTTGATTGTTGTAAAATTTTTTTTACATAAAAGTTGGTCCAAACTTACAAAAAAAGCACAAATGTGCATAGTTCAGAAGATCTGAAAGAGTGCCATAAAAAGCTGATGTCCCTAAATTTAGCATCCACTTAAAACTGCCAAAATACAAAATAAAATTCAGAACTAGTTTGTGAACATGTACAATCAATTTATCTAGTTTTCAGACAGCATGAGTTTTAAGCATTTTTAATTTTTCCTACTGTATGCAAGACCCTTTTCCACATAAAAATAAAGCTGTTGAATTAACATTATTCAAGTCTGTTGAATTGCTGCTTTAAACTGCAGCTAGGGGGAAAAAAAAGTTTTTCCAGGTAAAAATGATGTGCCTGAGGAAAAACAGATACTCAATATGGTAATCCTCTGCCTCGCCCTCTCACTGCAGATGTGCTAATGTGTCCCCTGTATCCTTGGGAATAGCCAGGTCCTTGGGCAGGAGAAGTCCAAGTCTGTCCATGCATGTGGCTGATGCCACTGGGATTTTCCTGTAAGTTACTTCCGTAGCTATAGTTGTGCATCTTTGTAGGCAAAGAGAGCGTACTCTCTGGCCCTGCGGAAGTGTCACCGCTGCTCCCCAGAACCGGGATCGGGCCGTGGCTGTATTCAAACCTATGGTCTTTATCTCCACTAAATAGCATAGGGCCAGTGTTGAGGTAAATGTCTCCATAACCAGTTACTGAGCTGGGAAAGGACTCTGAAAAGGCCGACGGAGGAGGGGCACCACCAGAGTGAGATGAAGCAGTACTGTAGTTATCCAAAGACTGAATATCTGAGTTTCCAAGGAAGCTCCTCCTTTCTAATGCTCCTGATGATCCGCTTCCTATTCCATCGCTACTGCCATAATGGGCAGATGAGAAGGAAGATGATCCAAAGTTATCCTTGTAGTCCGGGCCTGTTACATAGGAGTCTCTAGCCTGATAATCCACACTTGTTTGTACTGGCTCCTCCGTAGCCGCCTGAGCTTGATGCTGAGCAAGCAGCTGCAGAAGAGCTGCTTTCACTCCTGCGTGAGGATCTGTTCCTGAAGAGTTAGTTATAGGCAAATGCTGGTTCTCTGTCCGATAATCAAGGTCTTCATCAGTGAGAGGCGGAGGCTCCGGTGGCTCTGGGGGACGCTGGTCTGGAGGCAAGATCCGAGGGCGTTCTTGTTCGGGTGTTCGGCTTAGAAGCCTCAGCTCGGACTGCCTAACCAAATCCTCTTGACCTAAGCAGATGAAAAAGAAAAGCTTTGGAATAAAAATATACAGTAACAATACCACAAAGGAAAGGACTCTTTTCTAGAACAATACAGAGGTCTATTACTTCAATTCTCATTAACTTATTAGTTAAATTTATTGGCAGTTGGACGAATTATTTTGGACAAGGCAACAGCTCATTTGTCTCAGGAGGGTGATGCAAGTTTCTCCTCAAAGTAAGATTACCAGGCAAGCAGTTAAAGAAAAGTGGTGCAAGTTCCTTTAAAAAAAAAAACAACAAACAAAAAAAAACCCAAAAAAACCAACCAACAACAAATCAAAACAAAACTCAAGCAACACATAAACACTAGAAAATTCAAAGAGGGATCAGAAAAGATTCACATATAGGGATAAAAGTCTTGAGGGACAAAAGGCCACTCTATCAAGAAACAGCAAAACTTAAGATAAAAAAAAAAATTAACCAAAAAAAAATCCCAAAAAAGGTCAAAAAACACCCCCAAACCACTTCAGAATATTTCTTTCAACAGCTGCAAACACCACAGAGCAATACATAAAGCACCATATAATAAAACTTAAAGAGCAATCGAAAAAGATCAACAACAGAGCTCCAAACTTTGAGAAGACTACGGGAAGCCACTAGTATATCCCCTTGGAAACCTTCAACCAACTGGTGACAGTTATGGGGAGCCACTTACAGCATTTGACACTAAGAAATTGCTCTAGTCAGTATTAAAAACAAAAATAAAATACCCTCTCCCCAAAATAGGCTTTACCTAAACACACAGTCAAAATTGGCAAATTCCATCTGTGAATTTGCTAGAGAAGACTGTCTTCTCTACCACAAACACCACTAAGAAAATCCCAACCCCCCAGAATAATGATTAATATAACTGTTTCATCAGAAATACTAAGGGCACTTGTGTACCTCAGAGCGGGGATCATCTTTTGCTCTGTCTGCATGACACCTGTTACAGTAAGACACAAATTCTATGATCCAGACATAAAGCGTGACAAAATCAATTTAATCTATCCTATACTCACACAGATCATATGGTTAACATGTTAACTCTTTATCCCCAAACTATTACATCTCCACTGCTCAAGGTATCTGCCAGTTCGCAATAAAGACTTTCAGTACCTGCAGATGTATATAATGACTTGATCAGATGTGGGTAGCTGGGTGCCGGAGATTCCACGTCGTCCCGGCTGACAGACACAGGAGTGGTGGGCTCGGGAGGCTGCCTGACTTGTAACGGCATTTCATTTCCTGATCCATTTTCCTTCTCCTCCAACACAAAATCTTTTTGTTTTGTTTGCTGAGCCTTTATTAACTGAGACAACAGAACAGCAAATGCACTCTGTACAGCTGCCTGGGCAGCGTCAGTCTCAACTTTAGGCTGACTCGGCTGAGCAGGTGGTACAGGAGGCTGCGTGATGGTTGGCTGTTTTAGAGGCTCCTGTTCCGGCGGTGGTGGCGGAGGCGGCGGCGGCTGCTGCTGTTCTGACTGTTTTTCACCTGCTGACAAAATTCCAGCAGGAAGATTTATTTTATTTAGTTGCTGCTGAGTCTCTGGGTTTACCTTAATATTCAACACTTGGGCAAACTGTGCCAAACTAACACTTGTTTTAGACTGTAGCAGGTTTAGCAGGATTGCCACTTCATTCTGGTTTAACTGCTGTCCAGTGCTTGTTTTTGCTAAAGACAAAAAAGGTGGTTTTAAGTATTATTTAGAACTGGCATGTTTCAGTAACTCAAAAATAAGACTAATTTAGCACAGCTGACACAACTGGCAAAGCATGGGTTTGGACAACATAGAAATGGAATGCTTTTACATATTAACTGCCTTTGGGGGAGTATCTATAGGAAATAGAATAGCAAGATCCAGTATAAAGAAAGTGACTTCCAAAGGGTGTGTACATGCACTTGGACAGATGAGAAACATCAAGCTGGAGCTCAATTTTCCACAATACAACTAAGCTGGGGCTTAAGGCCACCTGCTTTAGGCAGCTGTAAGATTTCTGATCCCCGCAAAATTTCCTATCTTTGACATATCACATCCTTCTGTTAAAAAGCAGCCACCTGCAAAATGCATTTCCAGTCATTTTCTGGCCCATTTTAATTCAGCATCTGGATTCTAACACCTGCTCAAGTGACCAGGCTCTAGGTGACCCAGAAGCTAGTGGTATAAATGCAAAAGCATGTGCTGAGTTTGAAGGACAAGAAGTCAGTCACTGAGTAGCAGGAAAATACAAGTTTGTGATGATATACAATTTCTTCAATGAAATGAAGTTTGCCACAAATAAGAGGCGATTATGATGATGCAGGGGAATATGAATAAGGAAGTCAGAATATCAAAGTAGGTTCTTAGTTTCAAACACCCATTGTGGTAGTTTATTTTGAAAGGAGAAAGCAGCATGGGTTTCAACATGCCCTATGAGTAGGTGACTTAGAGAAGAGAGTAGTTAAAAATTAAAAAATGAGCATGTGTGACTGTGCTGGCAGAGCCCTCAATTTTTTTAACCCAGATCAACACGAACACATTCTGTCCTCTTCTATCCCTGACATTTTGCTAATTCACCAATATGTTAATTCAATCATGGCAGATTCAAAGCCATGCCTAAAGAAGTGGTCACACACAAAAAAATATTAAGTATTTGCCTCGGAAGACTAAGAGCAGAACAGCTGGAAAGTGCTGCAAAACACACAACCCACTACCCTACTTATGGATGTGCACCAGGATACAAGCACTTGCAGCCTACTCAGGCAAGATCCAGGGACTTCAATGACTTTATATATTTCTATAAATATAAAAATAAAACCACCTTTTATTTGGCAATACAGAAAAAACACACCATTTCTAATGCCTTGTACTGCTGGCTCTTACTCAGATGTCATGCTTAACAGTTGATTTTGTAACATCTGAGGATGGTATGTATGCTCAACACGCAAACTCCTCTCAGACTCTCAGTGAAAATTCAGCAGAAAAATGCCGAACAGGAAAACTAATCTACCTCTTCCATACTCTGGCTAGTTTCAAGTCCATTCCAAGAGAAAACTGTATTCTGGGAAACCTGGGAGTTTCTACCAGAACAGAATTATTGAGCTCTACATATCTCCTGTTAAATTGTTAAGATGCAAAAACCAGGAGTCCCATTCATGAATCAAAACATTAGCAATTGATCCAAGGTGTTTTTAACCTCTTCTTTTGGGGTGCTCAGAAACAAAAACAACAGTTTTGTTTAAAGCACGCATTTGTACACAGAGTTCTTTAGATAATATCATCAGTAAGGCACACTAAAGTGCATTATGGCTTCCAGAAGTGTTTTGCTTAATACAGAAAACACCTCTATGCTGAACTGCCTAAGCTCCACTGAAAATTAAGTTGTCTTCTTTTCTACCTAGATATATTTTTCTATGTACATAAGGGGAAACAGCAATATAGGTCTGAAGGGCTCCTCCTCTATTTGTTTAGTTTATTTTGCATGGTTAGTATTAATGACTAATAAACATAGTAGTCTCTCATCAGGCTACCTGCTATAAAAGCACAAAGAAAATAACTACTATCCTTTGGACTCTTTAAACTTCTATACATTTGTCATTTGCGGGGTAAAAAATTTTAAGGGCTACAGAAAGTCATGCTTGAAAATGCTGCCAAAACTTTAGTCTAAACATACAGAGTGGCAGAAGCTCCCAGCTGGCTTACAGTGAGAAACAGGATGAACAGGAGCAAGAGGCAATGAACTGCAATAAAATACCATCAAAAGAACTGCTTTCTATATATATTTGCACAGAGTATTTGGAGCTCTGCTTTACTGTTAAATGAAGAGTTGATTCAAGATGGTTAGTATCAAAGAATTTTCAGGTCCTGTGAATGCATTTACTATTTTTCTTCAGCTGAACTCCTGTATCAGTGCCATAAGATTTATGGTCACTTTGCACAATGAAAAATGGTTTAAATTAAACTAATCAGGTATCTGTTTGGTATTGTTACTCTGTATTTCTGAATATTATGAGGGAACTATCACCGAACTGCTGAGTATCTCAAATGGTGTCCACATAGGAAACCATTACTTTACTCTTTATATTATAGCCCTAAAATTGGTCTCCAAGCAAGATAATTCAGTTAAGTTTCAGAATTAATGTCTGTGCAATCTACAGAGGTAGCTACTTCTTGTTATACCAGGTTTTGGGGTTTTTTTTTGCGTTTTTACAACTTGGTTCAGCCGCAACAACTTGGAAAGCTGAAGACTAACATAACACTCAGAGGGAATCTGTTTCATTTGAAATTATGATTGTTCTAAAATCTGCCTTCTGATCAGTTTATCAATACCAATAAAGCTCCTCCAGTCTATGGAGACTGTGAGGAACTTAGAGCAGCAACTGGCTGGTGGGATTACAGAAGAATTATAGATAAGCAAGAGATAAAATCCCCTCAAAATATAAAGCAAGGTAGTTGCTCTGACCAGACTGAAAAATTAAGTAAAACTTAAAAGGACAACTTAGTTTCCAAAGCCAAGGAAAATCTTTTGTAACAGAGGTTTAACTTACAATACTGTTCCTCCCTCAAGAATCCAGGAGACGTCAGTACTCTGAAAATAACATCTAAATTTTCTAGAGGTGCAATCCAGGTAGAAGGTAATTATAAGAACCGAAAATATTACTGACCAAGTGCTACACTAGAGTTGCCCTGAGTTTTGAGTTGGGAAGAAGTTTGCATGCCTTGTGGGGTGTTGGTTCTGCTCTCATCCATGCTTAGAGACAGATCCTTCCTAGGGACTTTAGTTGCTGTTGAGTCATCAGTCATGCCCATCTGCTTCTGCCTTCTGCGTTTCTTACTCCACAGCTCATGGCAATCCTGCCACAAAGGAAGGCTGCAAAGAACGATTAGAGTTAATAAGCTTTATACCATATTTTTTTAAAAATATTTTTAACCATGTTAGTAAAATAAATGCTCAAATTATGCATAACGTAACTTTTGAAAGATGAACCTACTGGAACTCGGAAATACATCAGAAAACACCCAAAGCCAGCAAAATCTCAGATCTGCTTTTTCTGGCTGAAATCTCTTCATTGATTGCCTATTTCAGAAGCACAGGTCCCTCTGGCAGCAAAGGGGAACATGCATCTTAAAATGAGAATCAGTGTTACTTTCTTGCATTCATACTTATGAAAAGCCTGATCATTTGTGTAATTCAAGACTTCAAAATCAACGCTGCACACTTGCTATAAAACAGAATTTGCAGAGTAACAGGTAACAGAGTTATCAATATGAAAATGTTTTTTTCAGAGTCCTGGTGACCAATTGCTTTTGTCTGCTTGTAAAAGTACTGCCTCATGAGTTCAAATATTTGTCCACCGTAACAGACATGTCCATCTAGTATTTATAGTTGTACAGCACAGACAACCAAGGAAGTAAGGAGGGAAAAATTAAAAAAAAGGGGGGGAAGTTGCAGGTATAAATAGAACCTGACACTAGCAAAGTTAGGATACTAGGAAGAACAAGGGATATCCCAGCCCTTTAAGACAGACAAAAGCAGAAACAAAAGTCTCTTAAGGAAGTCATCTGCCACCAGTTCTGTCCTTCTATTACTTTTCCCTGTAGGCATCCCAATTCTGATTTCCTGAGGAACAGAGAGACCCATCCCATAGATAATGCAAATATTGAGAAAGGCAGTAAAAATAGTGCCTTTCCTATTTACGTATTAATAACTGTCTGAGCAGTTCCCTCACTGAAAAAGATGGAAAAATTAGGTGACAGATGACAAGAGCCACTAGAAAGGCAAGCATGACAACTGCTCCCTTTATTCTGTCCCTCCACATACCAGGTCAAAGATGTGCCAAATATTTAGTCAAAAACAACTGGAAGCAAGCAAGAACTCACTGTGAGAAGTATCCTACAGTCCTTGCTATCAGCACTGTCACTTTCTTTGAATGAACAGCTTCTTTCTTCCCAAAGCAGAACTTTAGTCTTTGAAGAGAACAGTCAACACTTTCCTGTGCACACTCTGTCAGAAGTTGAGCATGGTTCCTCTTAATATTTAAAAGGACACCAATGACTAGTTTGTTTTGAATTTCCATATATCAGCTTCTGGAATGGATGCACTATCAAAGCCCCTGAAAAAAACCCCAAATTTCTTCCTATTCACTTACTTTAAAATGCATATAAACAACATGCTGTATAAGTGGTGCTGAGATTTTAGTGACTAGTTTAAGATTGCTGATTACTGATATTCAGACAGCGATGTATATATATAGTCATACTAAGGCAATGAAACCTCTTAGCCTCATGTATCGGGAGAATTAGTAACAACCATGTGTAACAGGTATGTTGTGAAAGATTTTTAATAAAATTCTTAGATAAAACTCAAACATTTTTCCCAGTTGGTAACTAATTAAAAAGAAGTCAGCACAGGCTGCCTTGAAGGTACAATTTACTCAAACAATATTAAATATTCCATGTTCTGACAGCTATCGTTAGGGAAGAGTGAAATCTGCAGATTCTGTAATACCTTTTCATTGTTTTCCTCAGGGCCTGTTCCAATATGATTTGTACCAATTAAAATGACAAGTCACTGCAAAAACCCTACTGGACGTTGCAATACATTTCCTCTCAGAGAAATGGAAGAGAAAATCCCTGCACAAAGTATTTCACTCCTCCTGCCTGCAAAACCAAGAATCTCATCTCGCACTAGAAACAGTTTATGGTATTTCACTTTAACTCTCAGGTACCTTTGTAGAATTCTACACCCAGTGTCATTCTACCACCATAGAAGGCAATTCAGATTCATGGAGGACCTCAAAACCCTTGGAAAAAGTAAGACACTGATAAACAGAGATAGAAAGGAAATGATGGTTTTTCAACATTAGAAACTTTCATATAAGAGTATTTTTTTAAAGGTACTAACTCAGTAACTAGTTCTAGGAATAACAAATGAAACTATTCTCAGATCCTCACAACCACCGCTATCACAGTGTAACAGTCACTCAGCTGCACAACCATTTTAGTGCAGAATCACCATTAAACAACTGTATGTACGAACATTTTTGTTCTGCTACCATCTACTTTAACTGAAACACAGTGAGATTAATGGAATCAGTGCATGTTCACATTTGGTAGACGTAAGGACCATTACCAAAGGAAATCACTTACTCTGGAGGAGGCATTTTAGATGGTTCCACATCTCGCAGAAACTCGCACTGAAGAGCTTGTTCAGCTGTGCAGCGCTTGCTGGGATCAAGAGCAAGCATGTAATCAAATAAATCTAATGCAGCTGGTGGGATGCTACAAAAGAGGAAAATGGAGGACAGCATTATATATTTATTTTGAATCGCACACTTCTGCGCAAATTAATAAACACGTTTTCCAAAATAACTGATCACTAAGTCCTCAGATAACTTATATCCTAACAAAACCCACTCACAACTTGAGCTTGGTAGTCAGAGGCAGAGATAAACTCCACCTTTTATATAACCCAAGCTTTCTTTGCTTTCTGTGGTTTAATTCCTTGAAACATTGTCCTTACAAAAAACAACCAACCCAAAACCCACAAAAAACCAAACCCACACCAAAAAACCCCACGAAAAAGCCACCTTTTTAAGCCAAGACTATATTGTTACTTTACACTTTCTAATTTAGCACCTGGGGAGTTGGCAGTTTTGATTGGTCCGTCGTCAATAATTCTATCACTTTAAAGATATGTCTCAATAGTATGAACAGGATGATACATTTCTCCTCAAACCCACAGTAACTGAAGGAGGGGAACAAACCCTTTAAAATAAGCTTACAGCTGTTTTCCATAACTTTCACGTGTGATATTTGCACAAAACTAGTCCAATGGTAGTACTTTAGAGTACACGGTTCAGATAACTCTTCTGTGTTGAATGAATTTATGACCCAAAAGACTGTAATGTTAACCAGGCTACATATTTAGCTGTAGCCAGTTGTCCTAATAAAAAACAATTAAGTACTCTGAGCTGTTTTTTGGACAGGAACAATGAGCAGGTGTACCAATCATGGAAAACAAATGTTTCTTTAGGTGAAAGCTGACAGGTGGCTGAAATTTTAGGGCCACCTTCCCTCTTCTTGAAGCTCCTATTAAATAAGGGTTAATACAAGCTCTGTGGGTATCATGGGAAGGGTAAGAACCTAAAGCCATTTTTCTTCACACTTAATCTATGCTTGTTCTCCAGAAAATAGTGAAGTTCATAGAGTCTCCAGGAAAACGTAATGCTATTACAGCTGACTAAACTAATTCTTCATCCTTACAAAGCAAACTCTTCTCTCAGTTTTCGACGATACTGCTTCTTTGGTTTCATTGTGTTGAAATAAGCTAATTTTATAACATCAGGCCACACTGCTGGACAAGGACTCCCGCAAATTCGGCTGTACCAAAAAGAAGGGAAAAAAAGGTTATGAGATCCAAAACCACAAGTGAGCACAGCTGTCATTTTATTCTTGCACATACAGTGAATACAAAAGCAATTTTTATGTTCAGGTTCTTTTAGCTACAATTTCTCTACTGCCCAATGCCCAACACCGTTAAATAATGGTGAATTGTCTACGAAAGGTAATCACCCTGCACAGACTAAACTTAAACTTTAAGAAGTCCACTGTTTCTGCCTTGCCTCACCCCACTCCAGGCAGATCCACACAAATGCTTTGAAAAACTTAAAATAAATATATCTGGACAGTACTCCAGGATAGCCCAGGTTTAGAGCGCTAATTAACTTTTATGTCCTTAGCTCCCGATGCCAGTGAAGAAAGATACACCAAATGGCTGAAAAAGTGCTTTTCACTGAGAATTTAGTTGACACTTGAAGACATTAAGTGGGAAAAAAAAATCTCAGTAAGGCATAAGGGCAGAAGCAAGATCTGACCACTAGAAAATCTGTATATTTTTTACTTCAGTTATGAATTTTATGTCTCAAGCCTCATCTATTTCCACAAATGGAGTTGCCCATAGTCTTATTCCTCCCCCTCCATCCCCACCCATTTTGTCCAAACAAGAGTGGCTAAGTACAGGTTGACCAACACCATGCTTCTGAGCAAAAGAACTAAAGAGGCATTTTACTATACATGCAAGGTTTCAAACTCTGATGAAGGCCAGTCATAAAAGGACATTTTGCAAATACATTTCCCTAGTTCACCCCTACCATTCATTAGATGTAAACGGTTAGTGTAAGACACCTAATGATCTATTAGTTATGCCCCAAATGCTATGCAAAGCAATCTGGCTTTACGCTGGTTGGGGTATATAACTTTCAGGAGGAAAAAGAAAAATAATAAATCTATCTTTTCCTTTCAGAATTTTCTTCTGCTCTATCTTTGAACATTAAAGTTAGAAAGCATAAATGTAGAATTGTTAACTGTAACATGATGGTGGTAGAGATGTTGATAAAATTGATATAGAATTGATACATTTAAACAGCAAAAAATGCATAGCATCAGTAAAAAGGAAAAATGAGCTACAAACAGGAGCTTCCAGCAGAAGAGGAAAATCACAAATTTAGTTTGCTGTATCAGACGTACAACACAAAGAGAAAAAACTTCAAATGACTGCGCTGTGATGTGCTTCAATGCCATCTAGTGCTCAAAAGCAAAAATTCCCCAACTCACAAGTTTAGTTCTTATACTGAGAATGACCACTGATATGCTTCGCACCTCCCAAAAACTTCATTTTTCCAGGCCAGCTAATAACACATTACACTGAAACATGCTACTGTTTAATATGTTTTGAAAAACAACTCAATATATAACTTTGTTCATTTTTTTAAATTAATTTAATTTTTAAAATAATATTGACCATTTACTGTTCAGGTTCTGTAAGTCTTCACTCTATTGTCTCCTTGTTTCTAGGAAGAGGACCTCTCCTAACCTATGAGGTCAATTATGATATCAGAATCAAGAGCAATTTTTGCTTGCTGAATACAGGGGAAAAAAAAGATGCTCTGGTTCCACTGATTTATGTACGTATCATTTTATGATTTCTTAAGATAAGGAAAGAAACAGAATTTTTGCCTCCATAAAGTGTCTGGCAGTTTGTAAGGGAACAGAAATATTCACACAAAAATAATAAAGCCCACGTGTGTATGTGGAAGGCTTGAAACAAGAATTCAAGGCCAGTAGCATGCCAAGTACCTACTCCTCCCAAATCCCACTTGTCCTTATTATTGTCCATACTTTGTTTTGATCTGCTGCAAGAAAGTTGTAACAACATCTTAAAAAATAATGGGCATTTTGACTACTCTCTCTTTACAACTTCAGTAACAGGCAACTCCAGCTGCTCTACAAAAAAACCCCTTAGTATTCAACTGTACATTTCTAGGACCACAGAATACTCACAAGAAACACTTCTCCATGTCTGGGCAAAAGTCACTTGCTTTACATGCTCCTCAAAACCTCTAACATCTCAGGGCGATAACTTGAGTACTTGTAAATGTTCGCACTGCATTATCTCCAATTTTAATACTAACAAAAGAAACCTGACAGTTTATGAGGCACCTACTATGCGGTAGTGCTTGCAAGTTACCTTATAAGTTCCAGTTGAGCAAGTTCTTGATTTGCTTGAAATATTGGCTTTTTTGTAAAAAGTTCACCCAGGATGCAGCTGTAAGACAGTTTTGTACAATTCCATCATTATGGCTTTCAATATAGGTTGATAGAAACATTTAAGATTTATATTTGGCTTTTTTTTGCTTGCTAAACTTCTGTACCAAACTCTTACCCACAGCTCCAGACATCGATAGCTGGCGTGTATCTTTCTTCTCCAAGAAGAAGTTCAGGAGGCCGATACCATAATGTAATAACTTTGTTGGTATACGGTCGGCTGTTGGGGGGAGGAAAGAGAGATGACTATCATTTTACAACGATCTCATTACTGAAGAAGTGATACTTTGAGGACTTTACTTCTGTGGTGCTGTTTAAGAACAGTATACTCTTCCACTCCCTTTTCCCAATTTTAGTCCTGCAAAGCTGCAGCTGCACAAAAGCAAACACAACCATCTGACCACAAGGCTATCAGAGTACAGATTGAAGATATAAATAATAACCACATAGCCATCTCAATGCTATGTGAATCCTGTATCACAATTATTCAGATAGCAATACTGTATATTTATTATATTGCTAGTCACTGCAGGAGAAGAAACTGCTTGGATAAAACCAGTAATTTCTGTGCAACTATTGATTATTATAATACTGAATATAGGACCTCTACAAGCATTTTGAAAAGAAAAAAAGTAACTTTCCCCTCTGTAAGTAGAAGCAAAAGAGACAAAACCTTTTTCTTGAACTACATCCTTCAATTTTGATTCCAAAGACACTTCCAGCATCTTCCTATATTTCACAACATCTTTAATTCTTTACAGCTCTAACCATAAGTTTTAGTGACTGGGAATAATGCTTTCCACTCTCACACTAAGGCAAGGGTTTCCACTGCCTTAGACACATTTTTGTAGACAGGCTGAGATACAGCATCAACAGTTCAGAATGGAAGGCACAAAACAGATGTTAGGTTTTAGTTTTGTTTCAGCCAGGGTGTCTTAAAAGCAATCCCAAAATTCTTTCAGTTAATAATTCACTCTTACCAACACTAGGTAACTCCAAGTAGAAAGCAGAGTAACATTAAGTGCAGAGTTTGAACAACCATAGCATAAAATCTAACAAGCTCTTTTAACATACTCAGTGGTACAGGTATCATTTCTGCAAAATCACCCAAGTCTTTTTTTCATTAAGAAACTCCCCAATTCATTTTTAAAGTGTAGTATGTTTTTGGAAACAATCCCATCATTTATCATATTTATCTCTGAAGCAAGCATTCCTCCATGAAATGTTTACATGGTATGGACTTTCTCTGCAGATACATCACTCATATATATTATTATATGGTGCTTTTTATTTGAACAGATGTTTTCTTACACAATCTGTCATATCTCCTACTCCAAACTACAAATCCAACCAAATAATATTTAAAGGAGCACAACTACAACAACTGATGGGAATTTACTTAAATTTTTATTTCCTCCCCATTATGCTCCTACTAAATTCTGTACCCTTTTGAAAAGTATAGAATTCTAAGCAACAGTAAAACAAATGTAAAATACATGAATTTAAAGGAGAAGCTATTATACACTTGTTGGTACACGTTAATTACATCTGTTACTGCAGGTCAGAAACCACCCAGAAAGAAAAGGAATGACAAAAGAATTGTCAATATCTACTAATGACATTCTAATTATCATCCCAAGTTCAACTGGCAATCCTATTAGCTAGTTTAATTACATTTTAATCTTGGTTTCATTTAGGTATAATGGCATAATGATGTTACTTGTATAATAAAATCTATAATGTTTAATGTATAATAAAATCTGTTATTTACACTATAAAGACACTGAACTTTCAATTGTTCAATTCTTAATGAACAGTTAGTTTTACAAACAAAATTTAAATTAATTTAAAAACAGACATTTAAAAAAAGCCCTGGTAAACCATAGGAAAAAAAATTAGGTCAGTTTAATGCACATTAAATAAGAAGGTAGGATAGCATCAATCCCTTTTATTTTAAGTACATCCAAAACAAAAATTAATTACCAGCAGCCGCTTATGATTATCTTACCCTGCTACTATACTCAACAGTCTTCATAACTGTACTTAAGCATATGTTCCTAAAATAATGGCTCAGAAGACAGTGAAACTAATGCTATCAGGTTCAACAAGCTCAGAACTCTATGAAAAAACAGTAAACTCATAAAGGTAACATTATTTCCCAAATTAGGCATGCAGAAATCAAAGTAATCTTGTGTAGCTAATATCTTCTGTATCCAACCACCCAATGTACATACTAGTGTAAAGAACATTCAGCCTGAATCTTGAAAACCCAGTTCCACATGACAAACACAAAACATTACAATATAAAAATTGAAGTTCTTAATCATAAAAACTGTGCACCTGTTTCCTGGAGTACAAGCATAATGAAGCCAAGAACAACAGAAGCACAAGTCACAAGAAGTTTCAGAATAATTTTTATTTAAACTTGTATCTCTGTTTCCAGCAGATTCAACAGCACTGACTGCCTAAAGAATACAATCAACCTCTTCAAATGTAAAGCTAAGTCTTACACAAAAGTAATGCTTTTTGAAAAAAAAACTGTATACTAATTTGTGTCAGAAAAAAATTCTGCTTTCCCTAAATAAACTTCTCCTAGGTATACCGGCAGAAAGAATATACTTTAGTTTTACAGGACCAGAAGCTAATAGTAAAAACCTACATGTTGATGCAAACTACTTAGGACTGCAATTCTTCATTTCCAATCAGTATATGGCCACTCTCTACAGTTATTTATTCAGAACATTTGGAAAAGCAATACACTTGCACGAAGAAAGTTTTGTGGGTTTATGCAGTGTAAGACAATACGCACTTCTTTCATTTCCTAAGCAATTATTTGTAGTACAGTACAGTAACATCTCCTCTAAACAAAACAGTCTTCTGGCCTCGTCATACTTAGGGTTATGCAAAAAGATTAAGCTTCTGAATGCTTTTTCACAGTATAATTGTATCTTACCTTTCTTCAGAGTTGTACAGCCGAGCAAGCCCAAAATCTGCAAGCTTTATCTGCCCTCTGGTGGAAAAAGCGAAGAATTATTTAGTGGTTAATCCTCTTAGATTTCCTCCAAAAATCAGGTGAAGTTTGAGATTGAGACAGCTGCAACTGATCTTCACCAAACCACATTAATGAGGAGGCAATGCCTTACAATCTATGCATCTCTTCAGTAAACAAATACACTAACTTACTGAATAGCAAAGACAAGTAAGCAAAATGAGGTATGCTCATCAAGTGGCATTGACATCACCATGTTAGTCAAAATTTAGGTGTACACTGTAAAGTATTCAAATCAGTAACTGCAGGAAAAAACTGAAGGAGGAAACCCCTCTATTCTCATGCCTTTCTGCTAGCACAAGCATTTGCACAACAACTATCACCAGTCATACTTCCTTCTAGGAAGCTGTCAAAGTCTTGTTCTGTTCTTGCAGAGTTTAAATACATCCTTTAAATCAGGGTCGCTGACCAGGTAAGGGCTTCTGTTTTTGCCAGCAGACAACTTGCTGAACGACACAATCCCTTAACCCCTTCTTGAATTTTCTGATATATGAGGGGAACAGTGGAAGATACAGAGCTCTTGCCTGGCAGTTTCCATGGCTAAAAGGCACTGCCCAATGACGAGAAGCCCCCACCACCTGTAAAGTCTGGATGACTTAGCTATCTGCAAGCTTCGCTAATACATGAAATGAATGTTGGAAAGTTAATGGTGTTTTTGTTTTTCTGTACATAGGAGGTTTTAAAACTCCTGTCACTTTCAAACGCATGCAAATGTCATTTTCAAATAAGTTTTATTTTATCAAATTAGGGCAAGACTTGCTGATGTGTGTGAGAATGACCATTTTGTGATAATAAAATATACAAGTTACAGTTTCCATTCCATTTTTCCCCTCAGATGTGTGCTGGGAATTGTTGTAACACTTGGAGAACCCCCATAAACAAAGAAATGTTCCCCTCAAACGTACATGCTTATTTCTCAGAGAGCATATTTGTGGAAGAATTTTTGAGTAAAGACATCTAAAAGGTATATGATCCACGTGTTTGGCTTCAGGCTGTAACTGGTAATGGGATTTTAGAAACATTGGCTTAGAATTTTTCAGATCAACTCTCAACTTCTTCTTCTTCAGAATTCTTGTCAGACAAGAAACGTCTGAGGATGCTCAAAAAACATCCTAGGGGAAAAAATTCTGTATCCTGGATTGGAGAGAGCACAGTACAACAGAAAGCTCCACCTTCTACCATAATGCAGTCCTCTCCACTGTCAGGTTACACCTCAGCTCTCAGTTCCAAAAGGTGCACAGAGATAACACCACCACTGGAGATTAGCAGGCAAGCAAGATTAGGTGTCTGGGCACCGTGAGTGATGTGAAGGCATGTCTACATCCCTTTAAGAGTCTGTATCACAATCTGGCAAGACTGTGGTGGGATCCAGAGCTGAAAACAGTCTAATGTTAGTTCAATGTAAGAAAAAAAAAAAAGAAGGAAGAAAAAATGGAAAATTTAATTTGGAGAAAGCTGGGACAAAACTAGGGCCCTACCAAAAGAGACCCTTGATCCACCTTGACGAGTATTCCATCTCCAACAGCAGCAGTAGATTTTGGGGGAAAACATGTGAACCTGCTCACTTTGGGGCTCATCCTTCCTTGTACTTAACCACCACCCACAATCATTGTTTTAAGGATGCTAAAAAAGGTATTCCTGTCCATTCATTTTAGTGGGTGTTACTGATCCTGTCCATGAATGTGTCTCATCTTTTTGAATCTCCTGACACTACCCAAAAAACCTCCTGTGACAACAAATCCCAGAAGCTGACAGTCTGCTCTGTAAAGATACTATTTTGCTGTTTTAAACCTCGCTTATCAGTTGCTCCCTGGTTTTAGTACTGCTGGATTTCATGAACAACAGTTCTGTATTGAAGTTACCCACTATCCTCACACAGGCTTTTTTATGTCCTGCTGTCATACACTGAACAAAAGCGTGTTTACTAATATGATTTGTAATTACAAATAGTTAAAGAAGAGACAAATTCTTCTCCCCACTTGATTATGGCTATCACTGCAAGCCAAAGCATGTTTGAACATGCTGGATTGAATATTCTTTTAAAACATTATCCTGACTGATGAAGACGAGGACCTCAGAATTATGTCACGAAGAACCACCCTAGCCACGCTTCACCTTGAAATGAAATGGCAAAAAGAATACACATCAAACACTTATGTCCTAAAATTCTGTTTTAATTTGAAATCAGATAATTTTCCCCCATACTCTGACCTAAAAAATTCAAGTTTTAATCCTGCTGTTTTAACACAGATAAGTTTAACAAACAATTGCAGGATCCAGTGTTAGGCAGTAACATTACCAGATTAGTATTTTACAATTGATTTTAAAGAAACCAGGCAATCTAAAAAAAAGTTTTGCTAACAACTTAAAGCTGGTGAACTGTGAAGATGGAAAGAAAGATTTAAAGAAGTTAACATACAACATTTTTACATACTTTAAGTAATATCCATACCTATTATTTAGTAGAATATTTGAACATTTGATATCTCTGTGCAAAAAGTTCTTCTTATGGCAATAGGCCAAGCCCTCCATCAGCTGTCTCATAAAAGATTTAATATGATTTTCATTAAAATGAACCAAACCAGATTCCAGCAGTCCCATCAAGTCATGGTCCATATACTCAAATACCAGGTAAAATGCACCTAGGAAAAGAAAGGGAAAGGGTAGGAGAAACAGAAAGAGATAAATTGATTTAACAGCAGTCCAAAGCATTGTTGCTCCCTACTTTTGAAAGTTGGAAGTATTTTTTCACACAATTGTTTACATTATCTGCAATATTTATAGCTGTACCTAATGTCTAATAACAGCAATGATATATAGTGCAATAAAACATTTTCATCAAATTGCTTTTTCATGTAAACAATTATATTAGTCAAATGTTTGTGAAAACAAATATAATGCTACCATATGGAGCTTTAATCTAGATGGGCATGAACTCTCCCTGTGGCTCTCAATCTCCACCCATTTTCAGAAAAATTAACTGGGTCAATATTCCCCTATGTAAAGTATGGGGAGAAATCTAGAAACAAAGTATGTACAGCATTAGTTCATCTGTTGTGATTCGGTGACCATTCGGTGATTTTTTTAAGCTTTCAGTGTTGAGTCAGAAGTAAGCCTACCCTTCTTTGACTACAAATACCTGTAAGAACAAGGCAAAAAAGGGAAAGCAGAACTAACTATAGCAGCTCTGCAAAGACAGAGCTCATATTCCAAGTTGTCACATATATACATAAAGCACAACAGAATCTGGTCTTATGTCACATTAGCCTATGCAATTCCACAAATAAAGCTATTAAACACAAGGCTCTGAAATATATATATATATATA